AATCTTTTTGAAAAAAAATTAATTTTTTATAAAAAAGACGTACACAAAACTAGAAATAATTAGTTGACTTTTTGTATTATTTTTTAGTTTTTCTTACCAAAAAATCTTACTTTTCAAACTAAGCCTAATATTGTGCTAGACAACTAAGATGATAAATATAACACGATACAAAATTATGATAAATATAACATTATTAAAAATAATACCCACAAGTCTCCAAAGTAGCTGAAGCTAAAATTTTCAGTTTTGAGTCAAGTCCTTTTCCCAACCTAATTCCTCCATTCTTTAATGGAAACCATAATGACCCTTAGAGCTCCTCTAAAGTAGCTAGGTTTTTATTGCTGATTATGTCTTTTCTTTTTCTTTTTTTTTTTGAACGGAATGTTGATAAAAGGTACAAGATGTACACGCACAAACATCAAAACACCAACAAAGAGAAGAGGGACAAAACAAGGTAGGCAGCAACCAAGACAGAACACAGCAACAAAACACCCTTCTGATGCTGATTATGTCTTTTCATGAAGGCATAGGGGAATAAGATCCTCCCTTCTGCTTTTCTTTCTCCCCTTCATATATCAAAGAGAAAAAGAGAAAAATTGACGACTTCCTTTGCTTTGTCTGGTTGTTGTCCTATAAAGAGCACTACTTATTAATGCTTCCATTCACTCCACCAAAATTTTATGGCATGTATTGATCATGCATATATTGGCCATTGTATGAGAAACCAGTTGCTGGATTCAACTTTGAAATGACTAACTCTTTGATCTAGAGTTTTTAGTTGAGTCTCTCTTTAATACCTAATCTTAGACAAAGGTATATACAAATTATAAAATTTTGTGATGTTGATACTATTTTGTAATATAATTACTAGATATTATAATGGATCATTATCAAATATCACTTGAAATATAATTAAAGATCTCATCAATCATAACCCAAATTAAAGATCTCATCAATTATAAAATTTTGTGATGTTGATACTATTTTGTAATATAATTAAATCACTTTCACTTATTACTAGATATTATAATAGATCATTATCAAATATCACTTGAAATATAATTAAAGATCTCATCAATCATAACCAGATCTCATCTGCTCTGGTCTTTTTCTGGTCTGGTGCTGCTGTGTTTGGTTTGGTTGCTGCTGGGTTTGGAGTTCATTCTTTCATGTTGTTATACTTGTTCATAGTGTTAGCTGGTTGTAAGGGTTGAATGGGTTAAATCTGTTTTGCTTTTTGCTTTCTTTTTTTGTTGGTTCCTTATCAACTGGTGCTTGGAGCTTCGTGTTAGCTCCAAACTCCTCTTTATTGACGTATCTTTTCATTTCTTGATTGTTTGCATCAATAAAGATTTATTTGCCGATCAAAAAAAAAAAAAAAATCATAACCAAAATAACAAGTAGAGTATGCCATAATTAAATCATAATCAGTACTACAATGGATCATAATCACGTCACAACTAATATCAAGATTACAACCAAAGACTACAAAAAACTGTAACTAGAGTATATGGTATACTTTTTTAGGGTTTGTATTGCAATTTTTTTTTATCATTTTTATATCGATGTGACATATTTACAAACCATATGTATTTACAGAATTTCTGTGAGACTCATTATATATGAAATAATAAATTGTGTAAAAAGATAATAAATATAAATTATGTTACTGTTTGAAATATCCTCACTTCAAAAGAGTAATTGTACTTCCAAATCCCAAGCAGTAAAGGAGAGAATTTTTGGACAAGCAGTAAATTTAGGCTATATATGTTTAGTTGAGTTTTACAATATTTTTAAATTTAAAAATTAATTCGGTGAAAAAATTAAATAAATAAAAAAAACACTCATAATTTTAAAATAGTCTCTCTTTTATGTTTTTTTAGAACCAAAATAATTTTTAAAATTTTAATAAATTTTTTTTTTTGTGTGTTTATTTTTGAATTCGTGGTTTAGAATTGTTTGGTTGAACTTTTAGAATTTATTTTTTGAAAAAAAAAAATCAAACAAGAAATTAGAAACTAGTTCGAGTTTGACTTTTGCAAGTTTCTCTCTATTACTCTTTAATTATTTATTTATTTTTTAGATATAGGTGTTACTTCTAACTTAAGTGATGCTTCTCTTAGGTGGTGCTATACAGTAGAGACATTTAATTATATAGTGGTAAGTCGAGGACTCACACAAAGGCGGAAATTCAAAATCACACTCCTAACACACAGTTCGCCCCCGACCTGGAAGGTTCGTCCCAATAATCATATGTGTTGTAGTCCGGATGACTAGTTCCCGAAAGAGTCAAACTTGAAATCTCAAAGTTTATACCTCAAGTTGCCACACTCCCTTGAGTCAAGTGATACGTCTGGTTTACACATATATTTGGAATTTATTACGTAGGATTGGGTTTAAAGGGCCAGCATTGGTGGTATTTTTGTCAAATTAATTGAGACCTTTCTTTAAAATGGACCTTTCATGCATGATACTTCTGCATCACTTGAATGTTATATTACAAGCAGCCAAGAGTTAGTAAAAAAATGAAGGTACAATTTGAAGAGGAGTTTAAAGGGCCATTTCCCAATATAAGCCATTTTTGTATCGTATTTCCAAAACTAGGCCAACTTCTGACGGAATTGCAAAACTAAGTTAAAACGCTATTACTATTCGCGCTTTCACTGTTAGGAGCGTAAAAGTAGGTGAACAGTAAAATCGCTATTACAAATAGCGACTTTGATTAATAAGTCGCTATTACAAATAGCGCTTCTAGGGTTTGTTAATTCCCAATAAAAAACGCTGTTCTTAACAGCGCTTTTCACACAAATTTTTGTTGCAAAAAAACGCTATTATCAATAGCGATTTTAACCAAAACAAATTCCCCAAAAAACGTTGTTTATAGTAGCGATTTTAACATAATTTTTTTTGCAGAAAAAACGCTATTCATAATAGCGATTTCAAAAAACGCTATTCCTAATAGCGATTTTAACAGAAATTTTTTTTTTAACATAAACTTTGTTGGAATAAAACGCTATTTTCAAGATAAAACAAAAGAAAAAAACATAAAAAATATTTTAAAAAATATATTTACACTGTATATTTTAGTACTTGGCTTTACTAAAGCCATTATCATGTTAAAATATGTTTTTTTTTTCTTTTGTTTTTGTTTAGAATGTGTAATTCATAAATTTTACATAATATGAAAAAAAACCTCTTCTCATATATTAATTTTACATACTATTTTTCATATATATAATTTCAAAATCATATTCATGTAGATTATTGAATTTTTTTTGGGAAAATTTTACATAGCGATTTAGCTATTATAAAAAATGTAATTAAAGCTCATTTAGCTATTATCAATAGTATATTAATTTTACATAGCGATTTTTCATTATTTCATAGCGAATTGTTTCAAGTTAAATGAGCTTTAATTACATTTTTTATAATAGCTAAATCGCTATGTAAAATTTTCCCAAAAAAAATTCAATAATCTACATGAATATGATTTTGAAATTATATATATGAAAAATAGTATGTAAAATTAATATATTATCAAGCCATATTTCCTATTGCAATAATAGAAAAAAGGGGAAAATTTTAATTATTAATGAATTCCGATAGTCTTAACTTAAGTTGTGCAATATTTTATATAGTAAGTAGTTAACTAATTTACTGCTTACACAATAATTAATGGATAAATTACACTGATCTTCTATTAAAATTTGAAAAAAAATACAATAAGTTCACAATTTTAGAATAATTACATTGAGTTCATTAAGGTTTTAATACATATAACACTTAGGGCTAATCCCATATTTCATTAATAATTCATTAGTCATATAAAAAAAATAAAAAATGATAGTCACCTTTTTTATATTGAAATATATGATTATTCTTGTTTATCCTTTCACATTTTATTTTATTTTTTGATCAGCAAAAAAAGAACTTTATTAATGAAAAAAGCATAATACATGCAAAAAGGACATAATACATGAAAAAAGCATAATACATGCAAATAATCCTTTCACATTATTTGTCTTAATTTTGATCTTTTTAATATTACTACAAAAAGGACGATATAATTATATCAAACCTATAGAAGCTGTTTATATTTTTTTTGCAAATTTCAAAAAAGGTCAATGTAATTTATCATCACTTGTCATGCTTTACTCTCCTTAAATAGTGGAAATATGAGAAATGTTTACTTGTTTTCTTTCTCTCCTTTAAATTACAATTAGTTATGCTTTGAGCCTTGCAAACTATAAGATATGTACTCTTGTTTATCTTCACATGATTTCATGAAGTACATGTATTTTATGCTTTCAAGAGGCTTATTTGAAAGTATAGCATGAATGTTTTGATACTCTCTCTACCTTGTACATGATTTTCAAATGCTCATTTGAGCAAGGTTATGATCTATATGAATACTTTTTATATCTACATATGATTTGGATGTGTTGTATGCCATCTGCAAAAAATCTCCAAACACCAGAAAATTTTAAATTAAACTGATATGTCGTTAAATGAAACAAAGTACTATTTAGAGCTAAGTGCTACGTCACGCCAAAAGGCATGACATGAGCCACCTATTTCATGTTGTTTTTACTCGTAAATTGATGTAAAGTTTCCAAGTTCCAAAAAGGAAAAAAGAAATTATGCATAATTTATCTATTTGACAATGAATACTTTTTATATCGACATATGATTTGGATGTGTTCTATGCCATCTGCAAAAAATCTCCAAACCCCAGAGAATTTTAAATTAAACTGATATGTTGTTAAATGAAACAAAGTACTATTTAGAGCTAAGTGCTACGTCACGCCAAAAGGCATGACATGAGCCACCTATTTCATGTTGTTTTTACTCGTAAATTGATGTAAAGTTTCCAAGTTCCAAAAAGGAAAAAAGAAATTATGCATAATTTATCTATTTGACAACAGACTTTAGATGATAAAATTCTGAACCATCTGCACATTATTCATATATTCATACCATACCCAATCAACAGAACTACATATGTAAAATTTTCTCATGACAGTGAAATTCTGGATTTAAATTTATGGCTTTATAGGCATCATTAGGGTAATCAGTTTGATTCGGTCAGGTTGAGGAGCTAAAGAATAAAAGAAAAGCAAATAATAAATGAATGAATGAATCAACACACAACAGTAAACATTTCTAGCTACTTGGTAGCTAAATACCTAAAAGTGATTTTTCTTTCTTTTTTTTGCCCCCTTTCAATTCTTTGTTTACAAACACTAAACTTTTGCTCCAAAATCTGCTGCAGCAGTTACTGCAGTTTCACCTTCTGCAAGCTGTGCTGTAAATTTTCCCAACTGCCAAACAAAAGGTATTCGATTTTTGTCTCATGCAACAAGATTGAAAACTTTCCAGCCAAAAAGAAGTCAAATTTTGCTCACTCAGCAAAGTTGTTTGGCAATTTAACCAATATTGGGCCTCTATCTTCAACAACATTGTAATGGGAGAATCGCCTAGACTTGTGTATCTTCATTCGGATAGCCGGAACCTTCCGTGCCACGGCTTGCCATATCATTTGCACAGCATCACCCTCCTTCGACGGGTACTGAAACTGAAAGAAATGTTCAACCTCTTTCAGTTTTGCCCACATTTGAGTCCACTTTTCTCTCCCGATGCTCCTAATGAGATTGATGAGGAATTTTTCCTTTATGGCATCGGATGAGCGGACAAATATGCAGAATTGAGAGTAGTCGAGGACGTCTTCAAAGGGGAGCTCAATTTCGTCACTGATGATAACGGGGACGCAGTGGCTAGCAATGGCGTCAAACAGGCGGTTTGATGAGGGAGTGTCACCTGCTATGTTGAGACAGAACTTGGATGAGTGCATTCCTTGGGTAGCTTTATGGATCCCATCTCTTTGCACACTTCCAAATGAGAAATGTACGTCTTTTTCATCTTTTAGAAGATAGAACAACTCTTGCCGAACAAAACCACCCTGAAGATGAGAAACTAATGAGTTAAGACAATATAATAGGACTTGGATAAAATGGGGACTGTTCAACTTAGCTCTTAAGCCCCTCCTTAATGGCCCTCCCCAAACCATTGCATCAATGTAACAAGCACAGCCCAGAAAATAGAAAAGGAAAAAGAAGCCTCAAGACTCCAACAAGAAATTGCAAAATATTAAGAAATAGCTTTCAGATAATCATTTTACACATGCTAGAACAGTATAGGAACACCCACTTTCTTGATGAGTACAAATATTATTGATTTACTATGCATGGTGGCCCGAAAAATTGGCCACTTTCAACAGATCAACCATAAGGCAATAGAATAAGAAAGCTCTTAAGCCCCTCCAACAGATTGGTTCACCCCAAACCAAGGGAGCAATGGAACAAGCACAATCCAACAAAACTTAGAATAAGAAAAAAGACGACTCCCAGACTCCGACAAGAGATTGCTAAACATTAAGAAATAGCTCACAGATATCACATCTATTTTACACATGCTAGAACAACATAAGAACGCCAATTTGCTTGATGAAAACTAACATTGTTGATTTACCACACAGTGTGGCCTGAAAAAAATGACATTGAACAGAACAACCAATCTCCATTTTGCCCGACTGTAAAAAGTTGTCTTCATGTCCCCATGACCATGGAGTCTCAGTGTTGGATAGCTCGATATACATTGTTGGGCCTATTTTCTAACCACTTAAGCTTTAGAGATAATTGGTGACTTAGCATGGTATTAGAGCACAGATTAGGAGAGGTCTTGTTGGTTCAAATCTATCCGTTTGCATTAGGTCCCCATTTGCATTCTTTCTCTCAGACATTCTTTCTTCTCTCTATGAATGATGTTTGCATTTTCACATGCAAGACGGAGTTGCACATGTTGATGTACATTGTTGAGCTGATTTTGTAACAGCTTAATCTTGGGATAATTGGTGACTTAACACAAAAAATAACTTTTCTGAACAATCACAATATGACTGGCTCACCACATAATAATGTAATTCAGCATCCAACCCTAATTACCTTAGTGTGATATAACTTCTCCAAGAAGTCTTTGGTCTGCCACTGTCTAATCATGAAAGGCTGGGATGGATCTTGGATTCGAGCTTTTGGGGGGAAAAAATTAGGGCAAACTTTATTTTACCCCCTTGTGGTTTGGGTCATGTGCAGTTTACCTCCCTAATATTTGGAAATGACCACATAACCCCTACGTGATTTTTGGACTAAAACGCACACTAACTTTTATTAACAGAACATGTAAATTGACTATTATGCCCTCATCTTCTTTCTCTTCTCTCTTTGAATTAAACCTGCAAATATATATATATATATACACCCCAACCCAGAATGAAAGAGACGAAGTCACACCAAACATGAGGATTTGGAATTTGTTTTCTCATCCTACATATTTTTAGAAACTAAACAGGGTAGTGATGTAAATCACAAATTAAATGCACTGAAGAACTCAATTTTTCTAAAATTTGACCAGTGAGAGAGCGGAAAATCAAGAACTTGAGAAATCAAAACCCAATTCCAATCAAGAACCGGAGAAAGTGCGTCTTGGTTGGGTTTTGATGGAAGTGAGTGGCGGTGGGTGTAGAAGCCCAGTTTTTTTAAGGAGGGTTTGGTTTCCCTGTAATGTTTTTTTCCAATGACCTCTTTGTTGATTTAGAGCTTATGTTCTCCCATGGCTGCCATTGCCAACTTCCAACCCATGATAGTTATATATATGTATATATATATTATAATTAAATTAAAATTACTTTTATAACAGTAGAGGGAGAAAATGGAGTGGCAGGATGATCAATTAATGGGGATTTTCATGTGAGAGAAATAGTGAGAGAAGGGAAATGGTAGAGAGAGGAGGAAGAAGAATGGCATGCTTTTGTAAATTTAAAGATGTATAAGGGGTATTTTGGTCTTAAAATATAACTTACTATCTTCATGGGCGTGTGAACCTCACAACCCGTTAATTTGGATGGAAAAGTGGACGGTTCGGTAGCATTTATTTGGACTAGCCATTGAGATTTTTTTTTGGCTTCTTCCAGTCATTTATTGGCAAGCTGCAATTGTTGAATATTTTCACACCAGCTTGAAGAGGAGTGTTGAATATAGAAATTAGAGTACATAGAATTTTTTTATTTTTAGTATGATGTATATAATCTGTGATTGTGTCAATTAGAGATTTAGTATTGTTTCCTTATTTATATCGTTTCCTAAATTGTATCATGAATCTATTATATATACATTGCATCTACCTCATTCATGGGTAAGCCAAATAATTCTTTTCATTCTTTTAATACTAGTATAACGTAAGTAGTTTTTTAAATTTTTTGGGGTGCGACCTCCCCTGCCCACACACCCCTAGATCCATCCTAGGACTCCTTCTCATATCAGCGGCTCGAAGGCATATCATTTTGCCTCCAAGTGAAGCGAAACCTTGAACCCTTGTCAATCACTGGAGGTCAGAAAAACACTGGCATTAGATGCATCTTCTCATACCAGATGTCATTCACAAAAGAAACCTTCATCCTAAACAAACTCCCGGAATGCTCTTATATTCCCTTTCTGGAATCCCACACTACACGACCTTCTCATTTCCTAGAAAATACAAAAAGAATCTATGCAATCTTGGCCACAACTTACAACCATGAAGTTGGACCGAATTCAATATCAATGTCAGTATGACCTGTGCTGTTCAAACTTCAGAACTATGACTTGCATATGTAGGATGTAACCCTTTTTAGGTGAGTTACTTCAAAAATATCATAATCTTATAGACCTACAACCCAAATAGGGAAGAGGGAGATAGATGGTGAAGTTCAGGGGGTAGAGAAGAAGGTAACAAACCTTAAACCTCTAGAATCCAAATCTACCAATTCAGGACTAGATTCACGATTCATGCATAGATCAATGTGAATCTATGGGTGAATCTATCTTGGGATATAATCAATGATGAATCATACAATTCACAATTCAATTCTTTTTATAATTCATATAATTCTTGAAACTATTGGATCCAACATATTTCAATCCCTTTTTTTTTTTTGGTGTGTGTGAAAAGAAAAAAATACGACTTTTAAAAGTGTTTAACAACAAAATGAGCAATGCATATGCATAATCCAATCAGACACAACATGTTCTCAATTTTTTTTTTTTTTTTCCTTAGAAAAATGTCAAAATACACCTTCTAACGATGTTTTTGACTGAAGGAAGTTTCACCCATTCATTATCTATTATTATTTTGATAAAATAAACATGGTTTAATATGACAAGAATTAGGTTAGTTAGACCAACAATTCCACAACTGGTTTTTTATGATTTTTTGAGCAATACACATACACATTTTTAAAATTGTTTTAGGTTTAAAAATAGAAGATTCATAATCCAATCAGACACAACATGTTCTCAATTTTTTTTTTTTTTTTCCCCTTAGAAAAATGTCAAAATACACCTTCTAACGATGTTTTTGACTGAAGGAAGTTTCACCCATTAATTATCTATTATTATTTTGATAAAATAAACATGGTTTAATATGACAAGAATTAGGTTAGTTAGACCAACAATTCCACAACTGGTTTTTTATGATTTTTTGAGCAATACCCATACACATTTTTAAAAGTGTTTTAGGTTTAAAAATAGAAGATTCCTACTTACTCTTGTTTTTTTTACTCTATTCTATTTCGGGTTACTAGATTCATTTTTTGAATGTGAGAATATATTATTATTTTTTAAATATTTTATCAATGGTGGGATTTGGACTCGCGTCTCTAACTATGAAGACAATATCTTTCCAATTAGATGGTGCAATCATATTGTTACATAAAAATTACTATATAACATGTGTGAAAAAAATATTTTCATATAACCAATTGTTTTACATCATTTTTTATAGTTTGTTCCAAAAGTTATGATTCTCAATTCAATTAGGATTTTGATTCACGATACATTTCTCGATTTGACAACAATACCTTCAACTATGTAACCAAAGTATTTGGATAGTATTTAAGATCAGAGATATGCAACAGGTATGAAGTTCTTGGTGTCATTTACCCACAAACTAAATAGGCAGTGTCAATTAGAACTCTTACATTTTTCATTTCACCTTGCAAAACTATGAGAAATGAATCCGGTAAATTCCTAATATATCACATTTCAACATGTCAGCAGATTGAACCACGAAAGTAAAAAGGATTCACTGTTTAATACAACCCAGTAGAGAGAAAAAGGGAGGGTATAAAATTTTAATCAGAAAGCTCGAATGACTATTTATTCGACGTACAACCTGGAAGCTTCACAGTTCAATAATATAGGGCGATTTGAAATTTTGAATTAAGTGCAGGGCTTAAAAATTGCCTTTCCTAAGTGAAAAAAAAATTCATGCTTTTAGCTGGGAAATTCTATTTCCACTTACTTAATTATCTCAATGCACATCTTCTCTCAATACACACACTTATTAATTTGATTATTAATTAATTTCCTCAATCCACACACTAAAAGTTATAATTATACCCTTCACTTATAATTATTATACACACACTACTCAACCCTCTTTTCTACACTTTTTTTTTGTTTTTTTGTTTTTATGTTTTTTGGTTTGGAGATTTCGGCACTGGTTTTCCGAAATTACACATTTAATTTGAAACTTAACTCCCGAATAAAAGTGATTTGTTCGAAAAATTTGTTCAGAAAAAAAAATATAAAAAAAAACTTTCACCAGTTGATGTCCGAATATAATGAAATAATTCGGTACTAGTTGTCTGACTGAAAACCGCAAAAGGAGGAAAAAAAAAAATCTGCACGAAAAAACTAACATTTTCATCATTAATAGAATATAAATCTAGAGATTAAAACAATATGAGAGTTGTTATGAGAGTATTGATTTGCAAGTAATAGAGGAGTATAGAGTGTGTAGCAAACAAAGTGACAATAATGGAAAAATTAAGATTTAGTTTTTTTTCTATTTAAAAGGTGTACATTGAGTTTTTTTTTTTTTTTTTTTTTTTTTTTTTTTGGTTTTTTTTTTTTTTTTTTTAAAGATGTGTACAAAGAATATTTTCATAAAATATTATGGGTGCTAGTGGATGTCCATTATGGTCATTTTAATTTAAGGTATAATTGCCATTATAATAATATTTCATTAAGTGTGTGCACTAAGGTAATAAGTGTGTGAAAATAAAATTTCCCCATTTAGCTGGACTAGACCTTCAACAAATCGAAAAGAAGCTATAACAGATACAACAATAGTTTTCCTCATCAAAATTAAGAGAATCAACCTAAGGCCTTGAATAGATATGGACACAACATATCCAACGTTTAAACCCTTTCTAAATACTTTTATCAAGAACTTATAACTTGGCATTAGAAGAAATCATAATAAACGGGAACAAGCACAAGTACATAACTAGCATTTATGACTAGAAAGCTTTGATTATGATAAACAGATATACTAAGGCATGGCATGGCAAACAGAGAATAAGCGAAGCAGGTTAAATAATGACCATGTAGTTAAATCGCAACTAAAAGGCTAGTCAAACTAATGTGGAAATAACAGATACCAGCAAAAAGAAATATTTCATTTTCCCTCTAAAACCCAAAGATAAGGAAAGAAAGTCACTTACATCTTTTCTATATATGGCTCCTTGGAAGAAAAGCAAAATTGGGCGGCTACCAAAATCAGATGAATCGTTCACAAAGCTTTTGATGACATGTTTGTACGGTGCAATCACATCTTTGTCAACATTAGCTATATTTGGGGGATACCTTCCAAAATCCGAAAGTATGAACGTTGCAGGCCAGAGCTTCATCCTTGCATCTAAGAGGCTATTTGGGTGATGAGCTAGAACTATATGGTCCCGTCCCCCTGACCTCTTCCATTCCACTTGAGCTGTCAAAAACTTGACCAGCTTTTCTTGCAGCAACTTATTAATGCTTCTCTTTTGGTGTGGCTTCAACCTAGAATACCGATTATAGCATAACGAAGAAAAAAAGGGGACAAATATAACATCGGCTTCACTTGAGTTGTGGACTCTTATTGCACTACGAGCACGAGTAGGATGATTGAATTCTGATAACAGGAGATCCAACGTAAGCCAATATTCTATACTGTGTTGCAAGTTTAACCCACCAGGATATACAGGGATTTTAGTTCTGATATCAGGCCAAACACCTTTTCCCTCACGCTTCCAATCTAGGAGCTCAAAATGGAATTCTGGGGGTAAATCATACATGAAAACCTTAAGAATTGCATTATTACGATTGCATTTCACCAAATTATTTTCTTGTGGCTCTTCTACTTGTTCCTTGAGAATGACTGGGTTACTTGTAATTGAGGGGTTACTATCAAATGAAGCAAAAAGCTTGTGATTTGGTAACAATTTATGGTCAATGAAGTAAGGATGGCCAGTGGATCGCAACACGAATAACCAGGATAATACAAACAACATGATCGATGTAATTGAAAACAAACAAAACATTGATTTCTTTTGCCCCATTAAGGATGGATTTCTCTCAGCCATTGCAATACTAATCCCCCAAAGTCACTGATAATTGTGATCAAATATCATATCTATTTCTGATTAACCATGACTCATCCAGAGATGTATAAGGAACTATTAACTACCGAAGATTAATCTTTATATTACTGCAAAACCACAGCTCATTTACTGATTAGAGACTACATGAAATGAATGCAGAGAAAATGGAACGAACACATGCAATTAAGCTGAAAGAATCACACTCTGATAAACTCCAAGGCTACCCATGAAGATCACACCACAAAACCAGAAACCAACTATTCATTTGCAGCTCATGAATTAACCCAGATTGCCCATAGAGTCAAATGAATCTTTCAATACTAATCATCTTGAATGATCATCCCACATAGGTCCTAGCTAGGTAGTACTATGTAGAGACAAACCCCAATCACCCAATGTGAAAGAACCCAAATTTGAATCTAACAACTACCCAATATTCAGAAGAGAAAAGAACAGCTTAATAGGAGGTTTAAAAAACCCAGTTCCAAAACAATCACACAATGTGAAAGAATGAAAACCCAGATAGGATTTGAATCAAATTTCAATCCATTACCCAGAAAAAAGCTGAATGGGAAAGGTAGATACTAAGGAAGGCTAATGTGAATGCTACGATTCGTACCGTGTAGTGATAGACATTGACCAAACAAGCAGAGTTGGTTGATCGAGCTCTCTCTCTCTCTCTCTCTATCTCTCTGTGTGTAAGAAGGTCTTACAGGTAGCGGAAAAATAGAGTCCGACTGAGGAAGCGGACTCGTCGCTTTGCGCTGAAAATCTGGAATTGTGGCGAGAAAGGGGGTTTCTATTTGTTTGTCTTTGTCTTTCTATTTTGAGTTTGCTATTTTTGTTTTTTCGTTTTCTGTTTTTGTTTTTGTTGTTGTTGCTCATAATTAATTACAGCTTAACACCATGATTAGCTCTATTTTTATTTATTTTTTATTTTTTTTAAGTAATGCTAGAGATCTAAAAGGTTTTATCAAATTTTTTATCAAATGTCTTATATAGATGCGGGATCTACATGTGACCTATATGATATCAGTTTTACCCTCATATAAGACATTTAATAGAAAATTTGATAAAATTTTTAAAATTTCTAATATTTTTCAATTTTTATTACGAAGTTATGAAAAAACAAATATTAAAAAATTTAAAAGAACAGTGATAGTTATAGACTTCTAAAGACAACATTTATTAATTGTATTATATTAATTCTAAAATGAAGTTTCATTAAAATTTTAGTTTTATTTTGTAAATGGTAAAAATTATTTTACCTCTGGTTTTTTAGGCTCGGAACACTTTAGCCGCCATACCATAGTTTAGAAATAGATAAAAAAATTCCCGTGTAATTTTTGTCTAAATTGCAATTCTTACTCAATTAATGATATACATGGAATGACCATAATATCCTCCAATATGTCTGCCTCATTTTTTGTTTTTCCTTTTTTTTTTATCTCTCTTTTATTAGTCTCATAATTTCTAACTTAAACATTATAATTTCTATCAAAAAATTAATTTAATTAAATTATAAATTATTATTAACTTCTTAATTCTCTATTCTATTCCTAAATTTTCAACCGAATTTCAATTTAATAATATTTTCACAGCAAGACATATTGGAATCATTAATTACTTTGGATTCATCAAACATCATAAATCATCAAACATTAAATGTCATGAAAAAGTCAATCAAGCAATGAATGAACAAACTTACCGTAATGATGCAGCCCAAAAAAAAAAAAAAAAAAAAAAAAAAAAAAACCACTCAAATCATTTCTAAGTAACGAAAAGCATAGTTGACTGAAGTCATATTTTTGAGTAATGAAGAGTGAGGCAATAATGATCAGAGAAGGGTGTGGCAGCAACAATGACGGTCCGGGAAAGAAGAAGAGGTGGCAACAATAGTCGAAAAAAGGAGAAGAGGCGGCGACAATTGTCAAGTAGAGGAGAAATGGCAACAAAAATGGTCGAAGAGAGAGAAATAGGCAACAACAATGGTCTAGAAAATGAGAGGAGCTGATGATAATAGTCTAGCAGGGGAGACAAGGGAGCAGCGATGGTGGACAAAGAGGTGTGGCTGGTTAAGGTTAATGTTTCAAGGTTAGGGTTTCTATGGTTTGGTGATTAAGGATGAATATAAGGATGGAAATGTCCTTTTCTATTTTAATTGTATTTTAATTTAAAAAGAAAAGGAGACCCACTTTAAAAAAATGACAAGTGTATTACACATTCCGTTAGTTTGAACGGAAAGTATAACAATTGCAATTTAGTCCAAAATTATAGAGAGGGTAAAGTGTTCTAAGCCTAAATCAGAAGAAGGGGGTAAAGTGTTAAATCACAAGGAGGTAAAGTGAATTTTGTCTCTTTGTAAAGTCTATGGGAAAAAAACTTCTAATATATAATACATTAATAAAAGGGTAAATTACACTCATCTCCCTCGAAATTTAAAAAAAAAAAAAAATTAGACCTACACTTTTGACATAATTACACTAGTCTCTTGATATTTTAATTCACTTAGATTTTTTTCACTAGTAATTTGTTAGTCGTATAAATAAAAAAAATAATAATATCACTTATTTACAACTAAATTATATATTTATCTTTATTTATTTAGTATGTATCTATTAGTTACGTTTGTTTCGGTCACTTTAATCTTACAAAATGAAATATCAATGTAATTATATCAAAATGTAAGATTAATTGTATGAGAGGTGAGTGTAATTTACCCTTAATATGGGGTGGTTTGACATCTCCTATTTAATTCATCTTTTTATATTTTTTTCATCATATCATCTCTCTACTTTTTTGCTCATCTTTTCGTAAAAAGACAAAAAGTGCACTTATTTAGATCATCCCAAACAATCTTTAAAAGGTAAAACGTGTTACAAAATTAAATATACAAAAATAAAAATAAATTAAGCACATTCATTTAAAAAAGAATTATTAACCTCACATGACTTTAGATTCTTACTATTTAATTTTTAAATTAAAATAATAATTGTAACATAGCTTTTCTGCAGAACTATAAACCCTTGGTTGGAATAATTACTAAATTAAATTTACATATTACACAAATCCCATCTAACATGCACCCATAATTTTCAATGTTAAAAATACTAAAACCAAGTATATCTAGATTTGATTCTTCAAAATCTTTTTCATAGATTTTCCTTACAATACAATGCAACATTTTATTTTGTTGTGTGAGAAATATTTTTTTTTAATATTGTCAATATGTTTTGAAAAAGTATTTATTAAGAATTCTTAGATGATTATGAAAGTGTGCACCATAAAAAATAGGACACTCAGTTGATAAATCCACTTTTGGATTTTATTTGGTTAAAAGTCGAAGCGCTCAAATACTTTGTTTATAAGGACAAGCATAGATAAAATGACTAAAATAGCCATCTATATATATAGATATATATTGTATTTCTGGTTGCTATTTCACAAACCAAACCCCCCCTCTCTCTCTCTCTCTTCCCATAGAATTTTTGACTTTTTGACTAAAAATGAGGGTTCCCAAACAAGGCCTAAGTAATGAAAAGCATAGTTGACTGAAGTCATATTTTTGAGTAATGAAGAGGGAGGCAATAATGATCGGAGAAGGGTGTGGCAGCAACAACGGCGGTCCGAGAAAGGAGAAGAGGTGGCAACAATAGTCGAAAAAAGTCGAAGAGGCGACGACAATTGTCAAGTAGAGGAGAAATGGCAACAAAAACGGTCGGAGAGAGAGAAATAGGCAACAACAATGGTCTAGAAAATGAGAGGAGCTGACGATAATAGTCTAACAAGGGAGACAAGGGAGCAGCGATGGTGGACAGAGAGGTGTGGCTGGTTAAGGTTAATGTTTCAAGGTTAGGGTTTCTATGGTTTGGTGATTAAGGATGAATATAAGGATACAAATGTCCTTTTCTATTTTAATTTAAAAAGAAAAGGAGACCCACTCTAAAAAAATGACAAGTGTATTACACATTCCGTTAGTTTGAACGGAAAGTACAACAATTGCAATTTAGTTCAAAATTATAGAGAGGGTAAAGTGTTCTAAGCCTAAATCACAAGAAGGGGGTAAAGTGTTAAATCACAAGGAGATAAAGTGAATTTTGTCCTTTTGTAAAGTCTGTGGGAAAAAAACTTCTAATATATAATACATTAATAAAAGGGTAAATTACACTCATCTCCCTCGAAATTTAAAAAAAAAAAAAAATTAGACCTACACTTTTGACATAATTACACTAGTCTCTTGATATTTTAATTCACTTAGATTTTTTTCACTAGTAATTTGAACTAAATTATATATTTATCTTTATTTATTTAGTATCTACCCATTAGTTACGTTTGTTTCGGTCACTTTAATCTTACAAAATGAAATATCAATGTAATTATATCAAAATGTAAGATTAATTGTATGAGAGGTGAGTGTAATTTACCCTTAATAAGGGGTGGTTTGGCATCCCCTATATAATTCATCTTTTTATATTTTTTTCATCACATCACCTCTCTATTTTTCTGCACATCTTTTCATAAAAAGACAAAAAGTGCACTTATTTAGATCATCCCAAACAACCTTTAAAAGGTAAAACGTGTTACAAAATTAAATATACAAAAATAAAAATAAATTAAGCACATTCATTTAAAAAAGAATTATTAACCTCACATGACTTTAGATTCTTACTATTTAATTTTTAAATTAAAATAATAATTGTAACATAGCTTTTCTGCAGAACTATAAACCCTGGGTTGGAATAATTACTAAATTAAATTTACATATTACACAAATCCCATCTAACATGCACCCATAATTTTCAATGTTAAAAATACTAAAACCAAGTATATCTAGATTTGATTCTTCAAAATCTTTTTCATAGATTTTCCTTACAATACAATGCAACATTTTATTTTGTTGTGTGAGAAATATTTTTTTTTAATATTGTTAATATGTTTTGAAAAAAGTACTTATTAAGAATTCTTAGATGATTATGAAAGTGTGCACCATAAAAAATAGGACACTCAGTTGATAAATCCACTTTTGGATTTTATTTGGTTAAAAATCGAAGCGCTCAAATACTTTGTTTATAAGGACAAGCATAGATAAAATGACTAAAATAGCCATCTATATATATAGATATATATTGTATTTCTGGTTGCTATTTCACAAACCAAACCAAACCAAACCCCCCCCTCTCTCTCTCTCTCTCTCTTCCCATAGCACCACCCGTTGCCTCCAATCGGAACGTCGCCTGTCGTAGAGTCACCCATTGCAACGCTACCCCTCGCCTCTTTTTGTAGCATCGCTTGTCGCCTTCTGTCGCCACCCGTCACCTCTAGTCGATCTGTTTTATCTTCTCCGTCGTCGTCTCATCGATCTAAAACTCATTGACACTCGCACGAGCATACACAGACACACACACACACACACATATACGTAGGTCTCATTTCTCTCTCTTTCTCTCTCTTTCTCCCTCCCTTTCATTCTATTGATTTGTTTTGATTTACGTTTAGAGTTGTGTTTTTGAGAGATTTTCTCTAAGTAAATTGTTTTTGGATGATTGTTATATCTATCTGTTGATTGAAACTTAGATGTTAGGAGTTTTGAATTTGAATATGAACTGCTTTAGTTGCTTTTATGTATTTATAGTGTATATTTACCTATAACTGTAGTTGAATGTAGAACTACATTTCAACATCGATATGTTAGTATGGTTCTATGAATTTATAGTTGTGTTTTTGAATTTGTTTTTGTTGAGTAAGTTGTTTTTGGATGGTTGTTATATGCATTTAAGTTGATTGAAATTTCGATGTTAGGAGTTTTGAATTTGAATATGAAC